TAGATAAAGACGTTATTTCGTCGCTGGAAAACGACGAAGCTCATTTTTCGTTTGCTTAGAACATTTTACGGCGAGCGGTTGACAGGAACGATCTATCACCGGCGAAGTATAAGCAAACAATCGTCAAGGAAACAACGCCTTTATACTCTGCAACAAAAGAAGTAAAACTGCTTGAAAACGGCGTAGCTTTAATTATAATATCATTTACAAAAGCATTCTTTGGAGTTCTTGTGCATGTTTCTTGCTAATTTCACTTTATAGTTTTGTTGATACTGACATCATTCTGTAAAACACTTGTATAAATACTTATTTGCATTTTGTCGCGAGATAACATAAGTGTGATTCAGTTAAAGAGTAAGAGGATTTAGCTCTATAAATATTTCATGAAAAGAAAAGTTATTTTGTATTAAAAACGCATTAGACTAATGCGTTCCACTTGTATGAAGTCATATTTGTCCATAACCAATTACATGCAGTAATAATGACAGCAGTTCGTTGGAAACAGCCAACAATTATTGAATTAAATAGAATTGTTTTTCTTTATTGATTTTGCATTTTCATTCAATTTAGCTGTCGGCATATAAAGCGAACGTTGAGAGCTTAATCATCCTATACTCTTATTTTTTCGAAAACTGAGAAACTATAAAGTCCTCTGTAGCGATATAAGTTATATACAAAATAACATCCCAATGAAATCTAATCAACGACCCCGCTTTAGTAAGTAGTTATGAAACAACATTACGAATGTACCAATCTTTCATTTAATTCTATATTGACTTCTACGAAAATACTGAGTTTGAAAAAAAATAGAAATACTTAATCCGGGTGTGCTTTTGAGAGTGAGAATTGTTATTAATCAATTTTAATGAATAAGTTATAGTAAAGGTATAAGGAGTAAATTTCTAGAAAATAAATCCATCCCAAGTTTTATACGATTACGTCTAAAGTGAATTTGAAGCCGATCCTTATTGTGTTCAACCCTTTTTAACGTCCCACTGCTGGGCACGGGCCTCCCTTCAGTACGAGGGGGATCAGGCCATAGTCCACCACGCTACCAAGTGCGGGTTGGCGGACTGATCCTTATTAAAAATTATTAAAAATTATTCTTATTAGTTTAAAGAAATTTATCATAATATTGCTTGAAGAAACATTTCAGGTCATTCTTTAATATTGCTCGAAGAAACATTTTATTTAACGGGGATATGAATTAATTGGGACACTGCCGTGTTTACAGCAATTGTTATTTTAATTTGTAAAAGCTCCGATAAAGCAATAATATTTACGTTTGAAACTCGACTCGCGTGACTGCTGAAAATTATTCTGAACAACGCATGGTTATAATATGTTTTATATTAACTGCCGTTCTCAGCTTCGCCACTGCGAAGTTATTTTACCGAGGTGAATATAACGTATTTATTTTTATAAGAGGTTTTGTTATAAAAATATACTGTATTGTTAAGTTTATTCGAGTTTAAGTTTAATTTAACCTCAAATAAACTAAAAACTAGAAGAAAAAATATTTCATTTTAATATCGCATTCTTTTACCTTATAGGTATAATAAAATACTTAAATCAAACAATAACTTATCCTTTAGTAATACCAAATTCCAGCTGCACCCTATGGCATAAACGATTAAATGTACGCAATCTGCGAGCGAGCGCCTAAAACATTGCCCATGTTCAGGACGTTCGTAAATTCCAGCATATGTGGACGATGCAATTTAGTATGAAAATCAATGTACATTCTCCTGACACAACTCCAAATATTGAATGAGCCATTTACATTTTTAAATTCCGGATATCCTATTAGGCTCTAATAAACCCTTAAATCAAATTAATCTAATTTAGCAAATCCACTCAATAGTTCGCCTTGTAAAATGAAAATAGAGCATGAAGTATGAAGCCACCCTTTCACTCATCCCTTAACACCGAACTTGACCTAGTTAGTCGATGCATGTTTGATCGAAGCTGATTAAGAAAGGGGGTTAGTGTATATACTTACTTATGTAAGCACGTTAGCAGAAACCTATAGTGTAACTATCTTTGTAGGGTATCAATAAAAATCTAAAAGGTATATCTCACCTAAACAATAGAAGTGTTTATGAAAGCATTTCGCTGAAAGCTTTCCTTTATTAGAGTACTCAGTGGAAGATTTATCTCTCAGAGAAAAGCATCGAGAATTTGCTATGAAACATATAGTTAGTCAACTTACTTATTTATCTTAGCATTTATAAATAGAGACCGATATTTTATAGGCTTAATACGGCAGCGAAATAGCGGTGTATCACCTTTAATAATTTTTCGCGATTATATAAAACTAAAAAGAAATTACTTGACATATCGTTCAACCCACATACGTTATGAATACATCGTGAATTCACTTTCAAGAAAACGAAACGATCAAAGTGGCGCGATGTTGGGCGCAAAACCTAATTTGGGAAAGTCAACGTTCTGTTCATGGTATCATTTGAGCCTTTAAAAAGACCTCCCGTATCGATCAGAGTTCGATGAACCGGGTTTAGTGCTCTATTCTAATGCCGGAGAATTACTAGCAACGCCACGAAAATTAAATTGATCATGAACAACTTCTCTAATAAATGAACAGCTATTCATATAAGCTGTTACGTCTTTTATTAGGTAGCCTCGATTTTACAAGCGCTGAGAATACAATGTAAATTGCAAGTCTTAAATTTTGGTTACAAAAAATCACTTTCTCTCAACCTTTGGACAGCGTTATATTTTTTGAATTATGTATTTAAGAAGATATTTTTATGTATTTTGTTTTAAAGGCTTTGGAAAGTAAGCTTCGTTATCAATTTTTTGTTGAAAAGTAGAAGATATAATATTTAGGTATAAACGCAATCTCGCCATAAAATTCCTTATTCCGTAAAGTTATCTTTTGTATGTTTACTCAAGTCCTGACTCATAAAGATTTCATTTTTCGCTAATTACATTTTGATGAACGAAGTGTGAGTAATACGAAGTATATAACTACGCAGCTGTTTCCATGAACATCTCTATTTTAAGAAGTAATTAAAGCTGTACGACTGTCTATCTATGGACGTCCCATTAACTCAGAGACAATGAATTTCACAAATGTTAATCTCGCCCATTGGGAGAAACCGCAATCGTTTTCCGCAAGTACCCGAGAAAAATTACTTTTCTAGATAGCTTTAGTAGTCTTTTATTTAGGGTTGTGATAGACTCAACTAATTCTTCTACGCTCTTTCATTTCTAATTTTTAAAAGTTTGTTTGTTGTTTGTTCTAAGGACAATTCATCAAAACGCATCAATAGATTTATGAAGATTTTTTTTATTTGAAATAGAAGACTACGCAACTTTTCACATAATTCCAACAAATATTATATTACTAAATTCAACATGACCCTAATACTTTATCGGATATGTCTACTACAGTTGCTATTTGTTGGCAACTTGGCAAAATCAATAAATAAGCAGTGCCCATCGCGATTATGATCGCAACATTCACCGCGAATCCGATTTAACCGATAATGTCAATTAGAGGTAAACGAAGACTGAACCAAATATGGTATAGACAGTTTATGGAGCAGACCTAATCAATGCTGTCAGATAAAATAGAGAGCTAATGACTAGAAGTTTTCTATTAAAAGTTTTTATGACAGAAAATTTTGTATAATAAATATAAACAAATATAAATATGTTGGGACATTAACACACAGCACCATCCAGTTCCATGGTAAGCTACGAGGCTTGTGTTATAGATACTAGGTAGTTGATACACTACACATAATAACGAAATAAAATCATACATATTATAAATATAAACACCCATGACTAGAGTACAAATAATCGTGCTCATTACACAAATGAATGCCCCCAGCGGGACTCGAACCCGTGACCGCTGGCACACCAAGTAGGGTTACTACAAACTGAGCCAAACGTCTCGTCAAAGAATACACCATTTCTTATTGCGGCATATCATCTAATTCCCTGTAGACGGATCTCTATGTCCGACAGTGATGAACTAGACTATATCAGCTCGCATGGCCCCGGTCGCCACGTGCGGGATCAAGCTAAAGGGGCTTTGCTCACGTCACTTCACAAACTATTCTGATTAATTCAACGAACTTAGGGTATTGGAAGAGTTTGTGGGCACAATCTTGACTTATTTACATTAAGTCTATCTTCAGATAGTTTCTTCAAAAAGGTCAAAAACAAATTGCACTTTATATTATTTGGTTGACCTTTATGAATATTTGAATAATTCATTTGGAAAATGATTATTTCCTATATGCTGGTGGATTTGTCACATTTAGAAATAAGTACAACTGACGATACCTAATATTCATATTTTATATATAGGTATCTACTTTATAAATAATAAAAAGCCATTCTATCAATAAATATTATATACACAAATTAATAAAATATTCAATATTAATTAAATTTATTTACTAAGTCCTGAAATGAAAGTCTTGACAGTCAATATATTCCACCTATCGATTCTAATCTTCAGAAGACGCATGAAATGAATTGCTAATGGACAACTGTACAGTGACGGCGTTTAAAATAGGTGTACCTATTTATTTCGTATTCCTTTGGGTGCCTAATGTTTAGTAATGCGGTTATGCGTGGTAGGCTTGGAGTACTAATCGTTTATATGTATATTTTAAGCAAATAAATTTTAAGGTTATCCGACTATACCTATATATTATTTTCTAATAAATACCGTACATTTTAGCCACTTTTTCCGTACAAGTTAATTTGCTGATATTTCTTTACTCACGAAACTGGGCTCGGACACGCGAAGGCCATATATGTTACTTTTACGAGCTTATGACTCTCCTAAAACCTATATATTACATATTTAGCTATCACAATTGAATTTACTGTAGTAAATAATGTTATTTCTTCTGATAAATTTATTTTTTATCCTCTTTTTCTCATAAATTTTACAAAGCTGAAAGAAAGAATCAAAAGCATTCCTGACTATCCTAAAAAGTGGTAAAGGTACGAACCATCTGTGGGCGATGTGTACAGCTTCTTGCACAAGTCCTGAGGTCCGCCGAGCGCGTTGATCTTGGCTATCCCCTCGGCCCCGCGAGTCTCCATCAGCTCGCGCAGCTGCCGAAGGGTGACGCCATATTGCGCCGGCCGCCCCTCCACCGTAGCCATGGTGCCGGGCTCGCGGCCGCCGCCCGCACCACGCCCGACCCTCTAGATCTGAAACAAGGAGTAAGAGAGTCATCAATCGGTCAAAAATAATCAGTAAAAGTGTGTTTGTGCGTTATCCTTCGTTTTTTACTCCTTGATGCTCAAGCGTCTGGACAGATTGAGATGAAATTTATTATTCAGACGAAGATTTAGATTAACACATACCCTATTGTTGGTAGTAGATATCAAATCTCTTAGCCTTATACCCAGAACACTAGCACAATCAAACTGATGTATGACGATGTTGTAATTAATATTAACAATAGCTAAATCATAAACTGACTAAACATCAATCACATGGTTTTGTTGCAAGCCATTTACCATACAATAAATGGAGCATACCTAATAGAAATAAGGACTTTCACGAAAGAAATTTATATAAAAGTAAATTGCCAGTTTAGCTCAGAACTCACAACATTAGAGGACGTTAGGGACTCGTGCTGCTAGAATGGTAATTTCGTACTAAAAGTGATAACGTAAGATAACTTTACACTAAATGAAGCCGCGAAACTTACGTTTTATATAACTATTTAAAAAAAACTACATATTATTAAAATACTTGTCTAGTAATAATGATTTTATTATATTTATAGAGACAATTTAATTGGAGGCAATTATGTTAGCGAGCAAAACGGTGAAAGATCATCCATCATATACAATATACATTGTATGTATAATATACAATTTCAAAATGTTTAACGTCCAACCGCTGGACACGGTCCACTATTTCGTGAGGGTTGATGGACTTCTTCCGTTTTTAAGAACTGGTTACGCTCTCTCATATATGCAGGTGTTTTCACGATATTTTCTTGCACCATATTAGGAAGCGGTTATCATGTAGAAATTTTGCACATTTAATCTCAGAGATTCTAGCAACCCAAGCTGAAACCATATCACTTCTTTTCCAAGCGTATTACTACTATCTAAGTCGAATATTATATTAATTGGACTGTCCTATAAAATTAGATCTACTTGATAAATTATAAAACAAGGTTATTAAACTTCATTATTCAATCATGTATTTCAACAGCTTCAGGAGAGGATTTTCTGCATAATTCAACACCTCTTTAACTGCAATAGCATCGAGGCATTCCACTGTAAAGTTTTCTATCAACTCGATTGCATTTTACTGTCGCTCATTGCAATAATTAAATAGGGTAGAGGAACGTATAAGCGGGAAATAGGTTGACATCTAACGAAGATAAGACTTATCATCCCACACAATACCCGAGGGACTGAAAGGGAAATTATTGACATTTTGCAATTTTCAATATTTTATATACAATTATCTAATATATAATGTGTTATTTCTATTATTTTAAAATGAGTTTCTGATCAATTAAAGAGTCTAAAAGAGTTATTTTCTGGAAATCCAGTTCTATTTCAAAAATTCCCCTATTAATGGGGGAAAGTTATCTAACATCATACTATGATTTTAGGAGCGGATATAACATATCCTATATAGATATAGATCCTAGTTTCTTCTTATTATTATAGATTTCTTTCAGTCTTATATTTTACTAGCGGCTCACGCTCGCTTCGCTCGGGTTCGCCTCTAGAAGAATAAAAACAAATCTATCCCATGAGAACCGTACATTTTTCCGGGATTAAAAGTAGCCTATGTATTATTCTGATGTATGAGCTATATTATTGTAAGGTTTCATTAACATCCATTCAATAGTTTTTGCGTGACAGAGTAACAAACATCTATACATCTAAACATCCATATATCCTCACAAAACTTCGCATTTATAATATTAGAAGTATAAAGACATTACTATAGCCCTATCTACTATAAAGGGGCCACTAAAACCTCCGGAATTTATATTAACAAGAGCTAGATTGTGAAGTGACGTACATCACTCGGAAAATAATAAACTGGATTCCCTGATTGGATCCAAGGGTAGCAAAATCGTTTATTTCACAGCATCTCCGTTCACCAGTCACAAAGACATTATTTCTGCAATCCAATTAGAGGAAGCTCGTAAATCTTCGAAAAGACTCTTCGGAAGATTAACTTGACGTTAAATATTTTCAAATATCATATCGGCGCTACTTTGGCTTGTACAGTTTTATGGATCGTTGTACTTAGTTATAAATAGATAAAATTGTCAATAGTTGTTAAATATAAGCTTATTTCATAAGTCAAAAACGAAATTATGGTACTTACATTTTCTATAACTCGTACTTTAGTAAAATCTATACTAATATTATAGAGAGGTAAGATTTCATTTTTTGTTTGTTAGATTGTACCGTATAGGCTCCGAAACTACGGAACCGATTAGATGAAAATTAGTAAGAAGATAGTTTGAGACCCTGCAAATGACATAGGATAGGTTTTTCCCGAAAATCATCCCATAAGGGGGTGAAAATGGGGATGATAGTTTGTATGGAGAATGAACCCATGGACGAATCCAAGCGAGGGTGAGTCGCTAGTACTATAGGCTAACAAAATCTGACACAGCACGTTTAAGCTCACATTTGCCCTTAACTATGAAACCCGTAGAAGGGTTTCATTTTTATTTTATACCGTGTACACAAATGTTAATTAAACGAACAAAAAAATTAACCAGAACACACCTGTAGCCTGTTAGCGGTCTTTACGACCCATAAACAGACCTGTGCCGCTCGTTGTGCATCGTGCATATTTTAGTTTTATGTAATCAAATGTCTGTTTTTACATGTTTGTTTATAAGGGATGAATATTTTTGAAAAGGTAATTACAAACAATATAAATAACGTCATATCGTATAGTCTACAATGCTTAAAAAAAATGTCTTTATTCTTCGCTAAAACTGCCTTCTTATTTTTTAATATAAGACCTAAATATATCATGTAACGGAACATTTTTTTTCGAATTTCTACTACGTTTCCTGTAATAAAACTCTTTTCATCACTCACAACAAAGTGCCAAATTTAAATCAACAATCATCTTTTCATTACATAAAGGGCATAAAAATTAAAATATTTACAACTTCCAAGTAAGTTCTTTTGTAAATATACAAAACATATGCTTAATATTTATTAACTTCCGTTTCTTTATGATTATATCTGGCAGTGAATAATTTAGATATAATATGAAAATAATAAAGAAATACAGGTATTTGATAATAAGAACACATGAAGGCGTTTGAACGAAGGGGCGATGTATTCCATAAAGGGATATCCTAAAATATTAATGTGAAAGATATTTGAATTTTATTGTATTCACTAATATTTTTGGTTTAAAAAGACCGTTTATATATATATTAAATATAAAGTTCGTTCTCAAATATCAATAAATTATTATTCATATCAAGATGGTATTTGACTTCATGATATTTGTCATTTACTAAGTGGGTATGTCATGGAACTAGTTATCTTTTATTACGTTTACTCGTGATACTCATACATAACTTAAAATATTTTTGCGCGATAGCTCTTAACTAAAAATAATTTCAGATTAAGCGAGCTTGGAAACTAAGAGATTATTCAAATGTAATCCAATGAATTTATGGCAGGTCGGCGGAAGCTTGTCGACAACCTTGACATTTTCGTTTCGCTGTTGTCGTGCGCTGAGATAGTTTCATTTTAGGAAAATCTTTACTAGATTGCGACATTTTTACATATTAATATGTAATAATGTTACTAAATCAGTTTTGATATTGAATACCAGTAGATTATTTGAATAAGAATTCCTTTTTTAGCTGGATTTTATTCTAAGGATTTAGTTTTAGAAATAGTAAGAATAAGAAATTTAAATTTATTAATTTTTTATTTTTATTATATTTCTACAGGATTAACTATATTTTATACTATTCGTTTATTAATATATTTAATAATTAATGATTTTAATTTATTATCAATTTATAAGCTTAGTGTTCAGAAACCAAAAAAATGCATTAATATTTCCAGAAATGTTAACATTCAGTCTTTTACAATAACAGGCAAAAAAAATTTAATTCTCCTGTATTAGTATATTTTTTTAAGCTCACAATATATTACCCTACAAGGAAAATTGTATGTAAGTACTTGTTTGTTATTTATTCTAACATATGGGAGGGTGACAAGAGCTTCCCCCCTTCCTCCAAGCAGCAATGGGGTTGAGTGTCGTTGAACGGTCGGCTGAGTGCCCATCTCTGTTAGAGAACAGATCCTTCGAGATTTACTGATTTATTGAACTTTACTTGGACATATTGGGTAAACAATCTTTAAATTTATTAGGCCGTACATTTTTAAATACCATAATTTTTAAATTAATATCAAAATAAAGCGTAACATACACTGCAAATTAAACAAACCTACCTTACGAACTTAGTATTAAACATGCACGTAAAACAACGGGGTAGCTAGCAATTACTCGATTACTAGTCATTAGTATTATAGCATGTGTAGCAAAGTTGGGCAAATGGGTCAATCATCGTGTTCCAACAAACTTGGCACGAGCGCGCAAACAATCTTGATTGAAGGTGTCCCGAATTGCGGGATTAATCGATGTTGGTCGAGTTGCGTAGGTAATGGATGGATTGATGGCCAAAGGTTACGCGGATTTGACATGAGTTTGTTATATATTTAGTAGTAGATTTAGATAGGAAGTGATAAAGATGTTATATTACAATTAAAATACTATTTCTTTTTCAGTGTTTAAGAACATATTTTATGCTTAAGATATTTTCGTACATACACAAAACCAACAGTGAATGAGATGAATGTGAAGAAGTTATTTATAAACAAAATCCGACATAATTCAACATATTTTGAAACGACCTAATATTGTGTGTTCCATTACATTTACGCGAAAGCAGAACAAGGACAAAGTTCCACTATTGTACGAATAAACAATAAATCTACAATAGACACAGAACTTACCGTTTCTATCCAGAAATACATCTGAAACATATCAATGACGCAATCGTCCACTGAACTTTTAAAACAAAGGTAAATTCCAGAATAACAAAATCAGTTTATACTATCTGCTTTAT